AGAAGAGTCTCCCTGCTTTCATCCACCAGCACCACAGTGAAAACCAATTTCTGGGAAAAGCAACTGCAAAAAAAGACTTCCCTGCAACTCCTGAGTTGGAACATATTGGGCGTGTCTACACATGTGCTTTAGTGCACAATAGACTATTTTACTGTGCATTAAAGCACCCCATAAAAAACTGCCACATTACACTAATGCACAGTAAAACAGCCTACTGAATATTAAGCATCACTAAAAAAAGTATGCAAATGTACTACTGAGCATTAATGCTGCCTAATGCACATTAATTCAGTACAGGTGACCCTCACCATTCACAGGCGATATGTTCCCGTGATCCCCACAAATGATGAAATCCACAAATAAGGCACTGCATTCATGAACGCAGTGCCCCCGGTGGCTGGGGCATGGCTCCAGCAGCAGCGGGAGCCTGGTGGCAGCAAGCGCGGAGCTCCCAAAGAGCTCCAGTAAGTGTTTAAAGTGTTTTTAAAATGCGGGTTCAGCATTCACATATATTTGAAACCACGAATGCTGGACCCACGAATACTGAGGGTCTCCTGTACCTCACAATCAAGGGCACTTTTAAACGTGCTCTGAGAGTGGGGGCAGTACTTTAATTAGAGCAGCTCCAAGAGCCGCTCTAATTAAAGCACCACAGCATTTTGTGTATCAGCATCCCCATGCTTCAAAATGGCAAAGGCACTTGAACTAAAGCTTGTCAAACCTTAGTCCAAGCACCCCCGCTGCCATTTTGAAGTGCAGGGATGCTTATACACAAGACGCATGAGACTGCTAGAGCGCAGTAATTACCATGCTCCAGCAGGCTCAATTTATCTAATAAAGTTGTTTTTGATATCCAGATTTAGTTATGATGCGGCGATTAATAAAGTCTGCTCTGACACACTGTAATTACAGTGCATTGGAGCAGCCTCTGTGCTCATGTATAGGCATCCAAAGATACTAAATTTAATAAGCATTAGAAAAGGCACATTAAATGCATGTGTAGAAGCACCCATTCAGAGCAGACACAATTTTCAGAGAATTTAGCCTCTAACAAACCCCAACTGAGCATGTGCAGATTCCTTTTCAGAGACATACAGATTTGTTTACTTTTAGGTGGATTTTTAGAGGGATTGGGGTAACATGCCCCCCCCACTCCAACTCCAAAGCTTGGAGGCAATGAAATGGTTTTTCATTGAAATGTTCGTAAGAATATTTTAACATTAGATAACAATATTTTTAACAAATTCCATTCTCTTAAATAGATTATCTGTTTTTGCTTATATTTTCCAGAAAAACTCAGCTTGAGGCAAAGAGCCAGCATGGAAAATTCTGCTCAAATATTTGCATTTGGCAAAGTTATAAGGAGCTGAAAGCAGAATACTATTCTTCTCTTGTATACTTCATTTCCCCCTCTACACATCATTAATGTGGCAGAGCCGGACAACTGCTTTATTGTTGATGCTTGCCAGGTCCTCATTCTGGATGTGCAGGTATGCTGCACATGTGAGGAGGTGGGCAGCAGTCTGTGGTCTATCACCACACTCACATAATGGACTGTCAGAATAGCAGAATAGTATGATGGACAGTGTTAGAAAAATGTAACTATGGACTTCACTGACAGCTCCACATACAGTTCACAAATACAATAAATACATATACTTTCTCCTTCACCTTTATTAGGTTTGAAATTTTCGACATTAAAGTAAAGCATTTGCTTACTTTTTCAGCTAGCAAGAGAGTTATGTTCTGCTGTTGTCTGTTCTTGAAACTTTCATAAAGTTGGAGTAATCTAGCAGCTAACACATGCTCTCGATCAAAAAGAGGATGGTGGGTGAAAAATAAACTTGATATATTGAGATCTAATTGATAACGTTGTTCTTGATATCCAGATTTACTTATGATGCGGCTTTCCCATTCAGGTTGCATTGCCTATTTTTGAAACAATAGTAGGCCTTTATGTTATGTAGCTTATGTATTTTATGCAAATACATTTTGCAATGCAGCATTACTTAACAGTAACTGTATTTGTCAGTTGTTTTTTTTTCAAATCCAAACCTTCAAACTCAAAATACAGAGTGATTTTCACTAGTTGCACCTCCAAAGGAGAAGTTCTTAACCTTAAACAGCAGCTTGGATAATTTCTAATTATAAAGCCAGCCTCTGGAAAAAACAACAACATAGCTTCGCTCTCACAGAGGACAATTAACAAGAAATAAGCTTATAATTTATCAACTTAATAAGAATAGAGTTTTCACTAATATAATGCTAGGAGTCAAAACTCAAAGAACTTTAATAAAACTGGGTGTCACCACCCCCATTTTTAAAGATGGATAAAATGAGGCAAGGAAGTTTAATGATGTATCCAAGATCCCCCGGTTAGTCAACAGTAGAGCTGAGAACAGAACACAGTCCCTTATCCTGTATATACAATATTAAGCTAAAACCAACTACCCTGAAGTTAGGTACCCATATGCTACTAACTGCCATAGCTGGGCTAAATGATTTAACAACTGTGCAGATATTTGTAAGCTAATGCCTCAACCTTCCCTTCTTGGCTGAAGAGGCAGGGAGTTCCACAATGGTATTTATGTGACAAGTCTGCAGTATTTTGGAGCAAAATACATAGAAGTTAGAGTGCAAAATACAGATCTCGTTTGACAAGCAGCATAGGGAAGCAGATGGGTGCCTGGGCCACAGGGACAGTAGCAACCACCAGTTGCTGCTGTAGTCATGATTGTGATTGTGCAGCTGCTGACAGCAGCCTTTTTTTGCCCCCCCAAATCAACACCCAAGGCTGTTGCCCTGTTCACTCTGCCCTAGTTATGCCACTGCTTTTAACTCAACTGGTAAAGCTACAAGGCAGCACCACCTCAGCAACTAGTTTCATCAGTGGATTGAAATAAGAGCCAAAGTACTCTATAGTAAGTAAGAATAGGTCTACACTGTGTCCTCAGTGCTAGAAGGTGATGCAGAGCTCTTGTATTAGCAGCTGTAAGAATCCTAAAATGTTATTAAATACTAGGGCTGTGTGAAGCTTTGGTCCCTGATGCAATTTGGCAGAGATTCAGCCCAATTCAGTGGCCAAATCCCTGAATCTGAACTGAATCAGGAGACCCTTTAATCTCTCTGAATCGCATCAGAACCCTCCAAATCAATTTGGAAAGATTTGGCGATTCGGACACAGACACAGCTTTATATGTTTTTTCTACATACCTCTAGCTAGCAGGCAGCTGAGATGCTGGGGCACATGGAGTGTCCCACAAAAGCATGGGGGGCTCCCCAGTGCACATGGCAGCAGACCCAGAAGCACTTCTGGTTCGCTTCTGGGTCTGCTGGAGGGCGCGCTGCGGGGTCCTCCCAAGCTTCCCCGGCTCGGTGATTGGTGCCTCCTGGGTTTCAGGGGGCACCCAGGGTTCCCCATGGCCAATCATTGAGCTAGAGGGTCGGGGGGCCAGCACGCTCCTTGGTGGACCTGAAGTGGACCAGAAGTACTTCCAGTCCACTTCTGGGTTTGCCGCCAACCACATGGGCCCCCCACCCCCACACACTTCTGTGGGACACTCCATCCGCCCCAGCATCACAGCATTCATGAGCTGCACCTGGTACCTCAAAGTATGTAGAAAAAATATTTAAAGCTGTGTCTACATCTGAAACAGCATCGAACCTTCAGATTCAGATTAGGCCAAATCAAATCAGGAACAGTGATCCAAATCAACTAATCGAATCACTGTCCCCAATTTGGGCCGAATACAAATTGAATAGGGCCTATTTCAAACACCCCTACTAAATACTTGTATATAAATTCTGTTGACTTTTTGTGACAAGATCTAGGTGTGGCCCTATGGTCAGAGAAAATGAAAGGTAGAGACATAAGATCTTGAAGGAACTTCTAGAAAACAATCAGGTTTAGGGAGAAAGTATAACCTGAAGCTTGTTACTATAAAGCTAACTCAAATGAAAGAGTCAATTTCACCAACACTGTATACTTTAACTTTATCTGTAGCTGGTTGCAACCACTACAGGCTTAAAGAAATCAAAAGTATAATTTAAATAGCATGCTGGAATGAAACTAATCCTAAAAGAATTGTTTTTATATGCTTAAGAAAAAGTGAAAAGATCTTAATTTCAATTATATACTGCACATCCTTACCATGCAGAAAGTTCTTTTTTTTTCCCAGTGAGTGATGAACAATCTATCAGTAATACCAAATGATGACACCTAAACCAAATGGTCTCCATACTTTTATGTTCCCAACATTTAGATTCATGTTCCAAAACAGGTACCAGTAGTATAACTAGAGGTAGACAAGAGGGACACTTGCCTTGAGCATAAATTTAGAGGTGTCAGAATGGGAGCCTGTGCTGCATGGATTGCTGAAGCCCTAAGCTCCTGCTGTGTCAGAGGCCTCAGCCAGGGTGCAGTGACCCTATGCCTAATAACAGGAACCATAAGCCCCTGCTGTATTGTTTGCTGCACCCAGGACACAGTGACCCCCACCACAGCATTGGGACCCAGGGCCTCTGAGTCTCCTCAGAGGTGAGGTAAAGTTTGCTCAGAATCATCCTCCCTCCATACAACATCCCCCCTCTACTCTGCCCAGGGCACCAAAATAATCAGTTACACCACTGACAAGCACCATCCTGTTTAATAGTATCTAATGAAATAGTCTGCCCTACAAATACCAGCTGGTGATTTTTGTAGCATTACATATCTAAAAGATTCTTGAATAACAATAGCGACAAAAAAAAATTGCTAACCTTTTTGTATAAGGTCTTTAATTCTGAGCCATATTTAATTGGAATTTTTTTCCTGACATTTGGTGATTGTTTGATTGGAGAAGGTAATGAAATTATTTGTCCACTTTCATCAAACCAGACTCTTCTCTTGTTTGAAATATTTTAGAAAAATAATATGAAACATCATAGTCTAAATTATTACATTAACTTTTTATTTTATTTTCATAGAATACTATTAGCTACTGATAGAACAATAAACTTACCCCTTCTTCTTTAAGAAGGCGATTTTCCATTTTGTTATAACTTCTCTTACAAATTTCTGGTTTTCTTGGAATATAAAATCCTTCATCTTCTAAGACACGTGGCATAATTTCTTTTGGTAGTTTACAACTGTGAACCACTGAGAACAATTAAAATATTAAACAAAAAATAAAAAGGATATTTAATAACATAGACAAATAGACATATATAGATATCAAAAGACTAAATGTAACCCAAGATTCTATTTTTACTACTACTGTGAAGTTACTGCACACAGTAAGTAATAGAACTCAAGCAATTTCTAGTACACTTGAAATAGTCTTGACAAACTCAGACTGTTCCCAATAGGGTTAAGTCCTCACTTGAACTGTCTCTTACTCTTCTTAAGTAAATGTGGGTGCAATAGGTTGGGTTAAAAGCTTCTTGAAATTTGCAGCTCTAGGGTGCAGACAAAAGTGCAGCTCCTAGCTGTAAGTCAGAATGATTTTTGCAAAGCGTTCTGAGTTACAACATTATCCCAGACCAAACAGAAGTTCACTGTTGGTTCCAGGGGGGAGGGGGATCTAGCTTTGGCTGGGAGCCTGCAACCAAGTTCCCACAGCAAAGGCCAGTGGTCTCTGCCAGTGGTGGCTGTTTTCAAAATGGGAGGGAGGAAAGGCAGTGGAGGAAGCTCATTCTTGGGGCTCCCCAGCTGGTGCTGAAGGGTGGGGTGGGTGAATTCGAGCCCCCCACCTCAGGGAGAGGGAGGAGGCTGCAGTACAGCAGTCCTACCCTCCAGGGGTGGCTGAAAAAAAACCAGACTGAACTCTCTCTGCTCCCTTTCCCCACTCCCATTCTGAAAACTGCAACAGGCTGGAACTCAGCAGACATTAGTTACAAAAGATGCTACATTTTATAACATCTTTATCTGATACCTCATACAATGAGAGATCAGATTTTCACCCAACTGGCCATTTTTAAAGCTCTTTACAGCTGTGCACTTGTGTTTAGTCACAACTATAGACTTTCTGTGGCCAGATCAGGCAAAAATTGACACTTTTGTTTGCACCCTTAATAACTGACTGTCATATAAGATACCTCTAAGAAACAGTTGAGCATGTTTCCAAAACAAAGGCAAATCTAAAAGGTTACATCTGAGCTGTAACCAACATAGTGGTTTAACTGGGTTACAGTCACCTACAGCATACTCTCAACCTATAGCATACTCCCAACACAAACCTACACTACCTATAGTATACTCCCAACACAAACTTGATTTAAAACAGTATTTGCTTTAGAATACTTAAATTACCATGTTTCCTCAAATAAAACCCGTGCCATTTTTTACCAAAACAGGCTGGTGAAACTTGAGGTGCACACTATATGCAATAAAACCAGATCCCTATGGTCCAGAAGTTTGGTGGCAGGAGAGCTGTGGCAGCATTGTAATACATGTGTATGTATTTACAGCATCTGTAAATACATACACATGCAGAGTTCAGATTAATAATAATCTTGGAACAGAATTTTTAGACACATCTGCCTTTAAAGAACCTATTTTGTATTTCTTTTGTTGGTGAGCTCAAGACATGGGTGACTGGTTCCATCTTAGTCAGGAGGGGCATGTACCCCCTCCAGTGACCAGTCAGCCACTGTGAAGGGGTCCCCGTGCAGCCAATCTCACCAGAGGGGCAGGGGTTCCCCCTGTGACCAACTGTACCAACTGGGAAGTGGCCACAGTGCTTCATCCAGAGCTCCTGCTCCTGGCCAGTGCTTACAGGGGCAACACTGGTGCTCCTGCCTGCCCCCCATGCCATCACCTAAGCAGGGTGCACAACCTGTCAGGCAGTGCACCAGTGCTCCCAGGGGGTGCACATGCACCCCCATACACACCCTACACGTTGCCACTGACTCAAGAGCAATCAGTTTTCTAAATTATGTGCCCCATGTGCCCCAGCTTCCTCCTACCCCATGTTGTCAACTTCCCTTGGGCAATTTCCCTCAAGCTGTGAAAGGGTTCCCAAGCTAGAATTACAAAAATTTTAAAGTTATATTTAAGGCAGATAAAACAGTATATGGTTCAGAACAGATGGTTAAAATGTACATGCTATAGATCAGAACATTTAATAGATAGATGGGAAGAGTTAACTATGAATCAGATGCTTTCCCAGCATGACAATTTACAACAACAACAAAATTATACCTGGGGGTAATGTAATTTTTGGTATGTGCAAAATTTAGTTTATCTTACAACCTAAAAGTACCAGACTAGAGATATTTGTCAGAACTGCTTATATTTTATTTGTATGCTGGATGCAACATAAATCTGAAAACTTTATTTAACTTCTAACAATGGCTCATACAACAGTGCTTGCACATACAACTAAATAGCAATACACATTAGGGCTGTGCAAAGCTTCGGGTGGTGATTCGATTCGGAGGAGATTCAGCCCGATTTGGTGGCCAAATCTCTGAATCTGAATCGAATCAGGGGACCAATTTAAAGGTCCAAGTTGATTCAAAGCTCTCCGAATCTTCGGAAAAGATTCAGAGAGCTTTGATGATTTGGGCAGCTGACTCCGAGCTGACTCCAAACAGGGAAGGGGAGGGAGGGCTGGGGGAGGGGACCATGGGGGGACCCCTGCCAGCCCCCTTGACCCCCCCCCATGGCTGCCCCCCCCCCATCCCAGCTCCCAGTACTTTAAAAAAAAAAGTCCTGGTGCTCACTGGGTGCTGCCAGGCAGGGGGCAATCTCCACTGCCCCCCCCAGTGCTCCACACTGCGTGGGGAGGTCTGCATTAGCCCCCTGGCCCCCCCTTGCTCCCCTGACCACCCCCACAGGTGCCGCATCCAAGCCAGCTCCAGCCCTTTAAGAAAAAAAGCTGAGAAAAGCCCCGGGACTCACCGCTCCTGCAGTAGCCTTGGGGCTTCGGGGGCTTGTGCAGAGCCCCCATGTGGCATGAGGCAGTGGGAGGCAGCAGGGATTGCCCCCAACTGGTAGGAGCGGCAAGTCCAGGTTTTCAGGTTTTTTTCCCTTAAAGAGCCAGAGCTCACCCAGGGGGGCACCCATGAGGGGGCCTGGGAGAGCAAGGGGGGGTCAGGGATTCATGCAGAGCCCCCTACACAGTTTGGGGTAGCAGGGATCACCCCCCACCCAGCAGCACCTGGTGAGCACCAGGGCTTTTTTTTTTTTTTTAACAAGTGCCAGGAGCTGGGGCAGCCATTGCTGGGCTGGGAGAAGGGCAGGGGATGGGTCTGGCTGATTCGGAGACTCAGAGATTCAGCTGCTGCTCCAAATCAGATTCAGCCGAATTGAATTGGGACAATGATTCGAATCACCGAATTGAATTGGGACAGTGATTCAAATCACCAAATTGAATCACTGCCCCCTGAATTGACCAAATCTGAATCCAAAGCAAATACTAACCACTTCACACAGGCCTAATATACATGCTATTTTTCTAAAATTTGACCATTTCCA